CTGTCCATAAATTGTGTGGTTTTATATCATATTGTGAGGCCTCATTGAGTAAACTGCAAGGGACACACAATGACATATTCCTCATTTGGACAATCAATATTAAATCTTAGGTGTTAAAAATAAATCAAAAACATATTACCATAATTGTAATTATGCCACATCATAAGTAAATAATAAAAGAGAAAATCAACTTGCATGTAATAACTGTGTTCTCCACGAGGAATGTCATTTTATTTTTTCTGACAAGGAAATGTCTAAATTGATCAAAATATCTTTCATGATTCTCAAAGGGACTAAGCTGTCTCAAGATTAATCCTTGAATATTCAAATGAGTTGCTTGCTGAAGAAAATGGCCTTACTAATGTAAGTGGGGGATTCTAGCTTATTACCGCCCAGTAATTTTTTTTAAAAAACATTGATATTCTTAATACTCTGGTGGACTGTAGAAGCATCGCTTCAACACCTGGAGAATTCAAGCTAACCCCCCCCCCCCCCGCAAAAACCGTTTTCAAATTCATGAAGTTTTTCACCATTTTGAGCACTTGACTTGATATTTTGGGCCAAAATTGTTAGATTTGAACACTCCCTGGGTTTCTTTTCCTCTTAGCAGGCAGGCTATGGCCCTGAGAACTTATATATTTGTCTCATTCGAAAGTATCTTTATTCACTTGGCTCCCATTGGTTGAACAGATGCACGCAGTGAAGACTGGAGCGTGCGAAGATGTATTCAAAAGTAAGTTTCGACCTTTTCAGTAGCATGTATCTTCTTAATATTATAAACTAATGATTTTCAGTTATTCAATATCGTAAAGAGCTATTAATGAAAATATGATATCAAGTCATATGAAAATTAATCATGAGGTATAAAATTTGATATCCTCTTTGCTAGCACCCTGGAATTAAGTCACAGTGCTTCGCTGAAACACAGAAAAGATGAAGTCACAGCGACTTAACATTTATCAATCAACCAATCAAAATACAAAGAAACATTTTATACAAGTTATAAGGTTTTGATAAACAGATTGGTGTGTGTGTAACAAATGGCAGGTGGTGACATTTTATTTGTTTTCCCCAAAATACAAGTTATTTTGAGGAATTTTCCAAATGCACCAATATTGAAACATAATCATAATTCCCAAAGTTCTGCCTGTCATTTCATTCATTTCACCTTTTTGAGAAACTCTGAGTCAAAAGTTAGGGTTTAAAATGGAATGAAAAGTGATTATTTGAGTTAAGTTCTTTTGAGTGTCTCATAAAGCTAGATAAGGTGTGTCCAATTCCAGCCAATCCAAACACAGTATTTCATATAACTGCATTGCATTATATAACTAAATAACTAACTATTCAAAGTCATTTTACATTCTATTGAAACTAATGAAACTGATCAGCTGATCAAGTTCATATTTGAGTTTATTTCTATAAATTGTACCATAGGGAATAACAAGCAACGTGCTTATGCAGGTCAAATTAAAACATTGTTATTAAGACTTTTTCTTTATTTCTAAAACAATATTTCACCAATTTTAGAGCACAGAACATGATAACAATTTCTGCAAAACAATCACCTAAACTGAGTGTTGTGAACATTAGAGTAGCAATTAACCTCAGGGGACCTTGAAAAGAAAGAATATAAAAACATGTTATTGATATTACCAAAACCATTAGGACCTAATTTATACAAATTAACTCAAAAGGTTGATTATACACATCTTCAAAATGCATGTTCCTACCATGTGAGCTAATAATTGCTTCGAGCATATCATCTGATATACTAGGATGTGATCTGATGTACTAGCATGTGATCTGATGTACTAGGATGCGATCTCATCTTCCAGCATGTGATCTGATCTTCTAATATGTGATCTGATGTACTAGCATGTGATCTGATGTACTAGAATTGTGATCTGATCTACTAGCATGTGATCTGATCTACTAGCATGTGATCTGATCTTCTAGCATGTGATCTGATCTTCTAACATGTGATCTGATCTTTCAGCATGTGATCTACTAGCATGTGATCTGATCTCCTAGCATGTGATCTGATCTTCTAACATGTGATCTGATCTACTAGCATGTGATCTGATCTTCTAGCATGTGATCTGATCTTCTAACATGTGATCTGATCTTCTAACATGTGATATGATCTCCTAGCATGTGATCTGATCTCCTAGCATGCGATCTGATCTTCTAACATGTGATCTGATCTCCTAGCATGTGATCTGATCTCCTAGCATGTGATCTGATCTTCTAACATGTGATCTGATCTACTAGTATGTGATCTGATCTTCTGATATGTGAACTGATGTACTAGCATGTGATCTGATCTTCTAGCATGTGATCTGATACACTAGCATGTTGTCTGATGTACTAGGATGTGATCTGATGTTCTTAGGTGTAGCATATGATCTGATCTTCTAGCCTGATGTGATCTAATCTTCTAAGATGTGATCTGATCTTCTAACACATGATCTGAACTTCCAGCATGTGATCTGATCTTCTAGCATGTGATCGGGTCTTCCTTCTAGCATATGCTCATGCTAAATTCATTTTGAATGAGGCTATCAGTGGGCCCTAAAGTCATTAATGTTGAATATATCCATTTTGTAAGTTTAGTGTAATCATCTTGTCATTAGGCCATGTTTTTTACTACACTAAATTGTTGCATTAACTTTCTATGAATTATTTACTCTTTTCTCGTGTCATTAATAATATTTCTGTCAAAAGATAAATCAGAAAATCATAGTGGCTAGATTATTAATTGAAAATGACATCAATAATATTTTCATCTAACTCATTAGTGGATCAGATCACATGCTAGAAGATCAGATCACATGTTGGAAGTTCAGATCACATGTTAGAAGATCAGATCACATGCTAGAAGATCAGATCACATGCTGGAAATTCAGATCACATGTTAGAAGATCAGATCACATGCTTGAAGATCAGATCACATGCTGGAAGTTCAGATCACATGTTAGAAGATCAGATCATATGCTAGAAGGAAGATCAGATTACATGCTAGAAGATCAAATCACATTTTAGCCTCATTATAAATGAATTTAGGATGCATAATAGTCTCATTGTACATGACTCCTGAGGGTGCAGTATACAAGGTGGCCCAAAAAGTTATTTTACAATCTGTAAGCTGCAACTATAAACCTACATTTGGGTCACCCAGTATATTCAATGTAAATGAGGATATGCCTTTATAATGTATTTTGAGAGAGTCATGTCAAGTTTGATAAAACAAGCTCTGATGATTTTTTGATAATTCAAAGCGCCTATATAAGATGCATTATTTCCCACATACGTATTACATAGAATTGAATTATATTATTCAGTATATAATAAAAAATCCATATTTACTAATGTATCTCCCACCTACACGTGAGATGGGTTTGTAGTTATTATAGGGGAAAGTAATATCTTAATAGCAATGACAAAGTACTTAAAAAAATATATATACAATCGATAATATATACAATCTGAGGGATTAAACCAAGGACAGTATAGGCATAGCCAGAGGGGGGGGGGGTTGCAATGGGTGCCCCCCCCACATATATGCATAACCAATAAAAATAAAAGCATGAGAAAGAAGAAAAGAGCTTTAAAATGCTTTTTATTTGAAGCTTCCGGCTCAATTTTGAAGGAAGTTGCATCATTTTTTGTAAAATTCAATATAAATCTTATTTTTGGCGATCGCCACCCCCTGGGCAGTCTTGACTATTAATATGTGAGTGTTTTTATCAAAATTCATTTCTTTGATTATAACAACATTTAACCTTGTCACAAAATTGAAACTTTAGGATAAATTATAAACAGAAATATCAGTTGCTCTTGGATAGCAGAAATATTAGCTTAATAGGAGAAAAAACAATGAATCCATTTTATCAATCTTTACGATAAACTGACACAAAATCGAGGGTTAAAAGACTGCCTAGAAAAAATGTCAAACTAACGTTATATTCATCATACATAGTCTTGGGAAAGACATGTAAACTTGACCAATTTTATCGAAACCATCCTCAAAAATAAAGTATTTTTTATTAAGAGAAAATGTTAATATATGTCTTACCTGTATGTTTTGTGAAATAGTTTAGTTAATTCAAAACTTTTGGAAGTCATTGACCCAAATCTTTAAAAATGTTCTTTCTCAATACATATAAATACCTTTTTTTAAATAACATAGTTGTACTGAAGGCCACAAAAATATCGATTTGTATTTATTAACCAGAATTAAGAACCCTTCCCAACCTAATCAGAATAAAAAGTCCTACCTCAAATATACTTATTATAATCCCCATTTTTATACATTTCCATATATTTCTTTATTATACACTACTGTACATTTACTTTACAGATGTTCCTAAACAGCTCATACAGTCTAATTCATCTTCCATTTTTTATATAAACAAGGTCAGGATTTAAATGAATAAAACTTAAACGAGGGCGAAAATCCAGCAAAACTTACAATTCACAGCGTGACTGACATTGACTAACCTATACTAGTTAAAGGTCAATAATGCTTATAAATTGCAAGATGACCAAAATTAGCTACCATATTAATATGTAGATACCAAAACTACCATAAATACCAAAACTACCATAAATACCAAAACTAGGATAAATATCCTAAATACCAAGACAACCTTAAATTACATAAATACCAAGACTACCATAAATACAAAGACTACCATAAATATCCTAAATACCAAGACAACCTTAAATTGCATAAATACCAAGACTACCATAAATACCAATACTACCATAAATATCCTAAATACCAAGACAACCTTAAATTGCATAAATACCAAGACTACCAAAAATACCAAGACTACCATATATATCCTAAATATCAAGACAACCTTAAATTGCATAAATATCAAGACTTAACCATAAATGGCAAAATTTGTAGCAAAATTACAGTAACAGACACACAGACAACAGACATACAGACACAATCAACTCCAAATTTCAGTAATTCTTTAAATTTCACCTACCTTTTCTTTGTAAGAGCCACCTAATAATCCAACACTTTTAAGATCAACTCCTCCTTTAATTCCTTTCTTGTCTTTCCGCTTTTTACAGCAACATTTCTTACATATGCAGAAACAGATACACAGAATAAGTAGAACGGCCACTATCCCTATGGCGATGATTGCCCACATAGGCACTGAAAGTAAAGAATAAGGTTATGTACTTGAGTGTACTATCCCTATGGCAATGATTGCCCACATAGGTACTGGAAGTAAAGAATAAGTTTATGTATTTGAGTTTGCTATCTGAATGGTGATGATTGCCCACATAGGCACTGGAAGTAAAGAACAAGTTTATGTATTTGAGTTTACTATCCCTATGGCGATGATTGCCAATGTAGGCACTGGAAGTAAAGAACAAGTTTATGTATTTGAGTTTACTATCCCTATGGTGATGATTGCCAATATAGGCACTGGAAGTAAAGAACAAGTTTGTGTATTTGAGTTTCCTATCCCTATGGCGATGATTGCCAACATAGGCACTGAAAGTAAAGAATAAGGTTATGTACTTGAGTGTACTATCCCTATGGCGATGATTGCCCACATAGGCACTGAAAGTAAAGAACAAGTTTATGTATTTGAGTTTACTATCCCTATGGCGATGATTGCCAATGTAGGCACTGGAAGTAAAGAACAAGTTTATGTATTTGAGTTTACTATCCCTATGGCGATGATTGCCAATGTAGGCACTGGAAGTAAAAAACAAGTTTATGTATTTGAGTTTACTATCCCTATGGTGATGATTGCCCACATAGGCACTGGAAGTAAAGAACAAGTTTATATATTTGAGTTTACTATCCCTTTGGCGATGATTGCCTACATAGGCACTGGAAGTAAAGAACAAGTTTATATATTTGTGTTTACTATCCCTATGGTGATGATTGCCCACATAGGCGATGGAAGTAAAGAACAAGTTTATGTAGTTGAGTCTACTATCTCTAAGGCGATGATTGCCCGCATGTTCTTTTTTCAGTTTTCAGGATTAGGAATTTTAATATCATTGAGGGAAATGGATATCAGTTAATAAGGTCAAGGTTAATATTATTGAAGGTCAAGGTCAACATTATTGACAACATTTCATGAAAGCCAATATCATTTGATTGAAGGCAGTCAACACAATAAAGGGCCATTGACAATACGTTCAAAACTGATCCTGTAGCCAATATTTTTAAGACAGGTCATGCTAATGTTAAGGTCACCTAAACTATGTATAATAGAGGATATTACAATTGGAAAAAACTATTATGTTCATTATAACCCCAATGATTGATGTAATTATACATTTTTTGTTCATTAGAAAAAAATGACTGTAATTATCCTAAAAATATCTGAAATTAACATCCTGTCTATTTTCTGGTTTGAATGGTTCCAGTGGAAAAAACATTTATTTTGATTCAGGGAAAAAGTTGCAAAATTCTCACGATTCAGATCAAAATCAGTCAAAATATGCCTAGTTATCCGACGAGGGTAGATAAGGAGCATTGAGTTTTATGTTAAGACATTTCAAAGTTAAATGTAATTTTATGTTTAATGTCCTGTCAAAGGACTAAATCTTATGAAGTTTGGATCTGAAAAAAACAAATGAAAATACCAAATCCTTTATCTATTGTGTTTCTATGTGCTTTATACCATTCATTAGCAAAAATATATAAAATGTACTTTACCGATTGCCTTAATCTTAGAAAGAGGGGGACGCAAAACTAAAATTCCAATCTGAATGGCCTAACTGGGTTTTGAAAATCAATATAGCAATAGTGGTTAGTTATTGATCTGCCTTGTAATTATAGTTTGCATGCTTTCGTGAACAAGTTAAGCCTTTGATATTGCAACTGCATCACAAGCTTTAATTGAAATGGATTACGAAACTGTACTGACGCAATTTATACGTGATAATGCTAGTATACAGTGGTCTCCCCAGCATTTGAAGCAACTGAATGCTGTGCCCGGTTGAAAATCAAAAATTACATGCCACCCTGTAGTAAATCTAAAATTACGATCATGACAAGGCAGATATCATGGCACAGGGATTTTGGATATAAACCACCAATTAAGACACTAAATACATTCAATTTTTTGACAAAGATCCGAGTCTTTAATGAGGAAGCTCGAGAATTATTTAGGAGCATTCTTTACATTAAAATGATTTATTCATTGAAAGATTATTTGATTGACAAAGATCATTCTATTTAGATCTTATTTATACATATTCAAGTTAAAATCTAGAAAAATATAGTAGTTTTTGAGATGAAATAATGTATGTGTATATAAACTGAACTATTCAATTTATTCAGTACTGCATTATATGCATGCCTTTAGAGGGGAGAGTGCAACCCCATCCCTCCATTTTACTTTGTATCACTAGGAAATACAGTAAGAAACTAATAAAAAGCCATGTTATATTGGTTCAATGGTTGGTTCAATGGTTAGTTCAATAGTTGGTTCAATGGTTAGTTCAATGGTTGGTTCAATTATTGGTTCAATGGTTAGTTCAATGGTTGGTTCAATGGTTGGTTCAATGGTTGTTCCTGTGTGCATATTACTAGGAGGAACTCTGAAGACGACATGATCACTAGAATTAATATGGCATTGACGTCAATGAAATCTGCAGGACTGAAACAATTAAATTACTGTAATACTATACTCTTATATCTTTAAAGGGTGTCATATACGCTGTAATATATATGAGACTAATTGGTTGTTTTAATAGAGGCAACCTGATCGCAAGAGTCAATGTCCTTCAGTAACTGCCCCCTTCAAGGGATATTATAATCCAAAATGGAGATTTAAACTGGAGTCTGTAGTACATGAATGAATGATTTTTATCCATCCATGGATATGACATCTGTTTGAGCGAGTCTATAGCTGTTAGAGCTGTAAAAGATGGCTTTGAGTGAATATTTGCAAAATACATATTTTTTCCACTGACTACAAAAAATATTGTTTTTAATTTGACATGATATCCTACTAATATTAAAGTAACTAGCTATGGAATAACGCCGTTTTGGTGCCAAATTTCGGTTCCGTTTTTGGCATTAAATGGACTGACTAGTACGTTGCCAAATTTTGGTGTCGGAAAGGTTTCGGTGCTGAAACGGTGCCGGGACAGCGCCTTTCTTTGATGCTGAAACGGCGCTGAATTATATTGGCTGTGTAATGCACTGTTTCGGGGCTGTAATGGACAGGTTGCTACACAGAGTTATAATCTGTACAGAATTGCAAACTGTAATTGAATAAAATTGCTCCAGAATTGTTACAATTTCTTCGCTTAGCTGGACAAATTTGCATTATATTGATTATATACAAACAGGACATCAACATTCTAACCAGAGTAGTATAATATAATCTATAATGCCACTCTTCATCCAGAAATGTAATTTTATTCCCACGAGTACTAAGCCATCATTCTCTCTCACCCTTTCAATATTTGAATTTGCTTCTTTAAAAGTGAACTTCAACTGCAATATTTGAGATAGAGCTATCCAATCAAAATAGCACTGAAATTAAAGGTAACAGTCGATTGGTGCATACCCTTGGCCTTTCAAATATTCTGATTACTTTAGCTTCTTTTAAAGAGAGCTTACTACTAGGTCTGAGCATTTTTTTTTCCATCTTCCAAACTCAGGATTCTAGTCATCATTCTCTCAATTTCCTCTCTTTTAAAGATTAGGAGGGAACAAAATGGATGATGTTCCATACCCTGCGTGCAGTCTTAAAAATTATAAACTACCCTCTGCCTAGCATAGACAATAATACAGTTTAGCAACTCCACCCCCACATTCGGTGCCTGTGACAGTAAGATCAGAGGTTTATTGTAAACTGAAAGAGTGAAGATGAAGCTCTCTTTTAAGAAGTGAAGTCAAACGATTGCAAAGGGTAGCCAATCAATACATTTTAAGCCAATCCTAGTGGTTTTCGGATTATACAAGTTTTTACTAATATCAGATTATCAGGTCCCAGAGTGAGTGTCCTTATATTATTGATCCCTAATGTTGCGGCGGTTACACGCTTTGTATATTATTGAACAAAGCGCTGTAAGGAAAGATATTCTCCTCCCAAAAATCATTAAATTGTCCCTTTTGAAGAAACTACAAGACTAACTAAAATGTCTCCCCAGCACATCCTTTTTTCAATTTCACAATCCACCACTGGACATAAAATAAGTAATATCCCTGGTGTAGGGAACATATTGATATTCAAAGACAACCACTATAATTACTGGCATGCAGTCAGACTAATAATACAGGAATTTACACGGAACTCAGGTCTTTCAATCGATGTATTCAACACAGCTTCCTTTCCATACAAAGATGGATTGATCAATCACTAACAAAGCAAATATAATATTAACTGAAATAATATCTGTCAGCACCAGCATCTTGGATTTCCAAGGTATGATGTTTTCATACCTTGGAATATCAGGCTTAAATTTCTGTTCAAAACCCTATCAATTTGTCATAGATTGAGGATTCTGTTGAATGAGATTTCATCTAACACAATTCTTATGTATTAGGTAAATAGAAGCTGATCAGTCAACCTCATTAGTCAATAATTAAGGGCCATTAACTATGGTTTAAAAGGAGTCTGACCAATGAGATCCGAGAGTAAAACAAACATATCATCTGATTGTGCACTGGTTTTAACGTGCACCAATCAGATGGTTTGTCTGTTTTTCAGATAGAAAAGTTATCAGGCCCGTAGCCAGAATTTTCCAAGGGGGGGTTCGTTTTTCTAAAAAATTCTAGGGGGGGTTCACTTTGGCAAATATGGCCAAAAATCACTCAAAAATTAGTCAGAATGGTGAAAAACTGCATGATTTTGAAAGAAATTTTGGCCAGGGGGGGGGGTTCGTCCGAACCCCCCGAACCCCCCCTGGCTACGGGCCTGGTTATACACTGATACCTGGAGTGTGATTTAAAATCAAACTGGGAAACGAGAATGCAGCACCAGTACAAACATGAAATTCTGATTTGTTAGTTGATGGTTTTTATTTGTTTAGGTTTTCTAGCAAAGTCACAAGGGTTAGCACTCTTATACTCTTTACTAGGAGATTGATTTGATTGATTTGTCTAGCTATACAAGTGCTCCTTTGAAATTAGAGAAAATATTTGGCAGATATAAAATTAGATTGCATACTAGTAGTCAAAAAAATTATTCCAATTTCTGCTTTCATGAAGTAGCATTCATTTCAGATCCTAATAGTACAAACGTCCATATATAATGTTTCATAAAATTTGGTTGTGTAGTACAGCTATTGATCAGGGTAGGTGTAATATTCCCAAATCTTTGTTTATATTGTTTATTTTAAGTCCACTTAACTTTTTTCAAACATGACTTTACGGACCATAATTTGAACTTTCTGAACGAATTAGTAAAAATAATTGATCAACAGTGAAATCTTCATCACAAGGCATTAAATCTACATGTACTCACAAGACATTTAATATACTCACAAGGCATTAAATCTACTCACAAGACATTTAATGTACTCACAAGGCATTAAATTTACTCAGAAGACATTAAATGTACTTACAAGGCAGTTTATGTAAAGCATCCAATATTTTTTGTTTGGCATCGTCCATGAAACCTGTTTTCCCTGGGGGAGCATTGGCTTCTGTCCCCGCAGCAGCATCATTGGGCGCAGTGCCGACCTCCGCGTTGGCTTCAGTTCCGGACATGGCGTCTGTTGCAGCACGTCGTAATCTCTCGAGAGTTCCCATCTACTCGCTGCCCCACCGTAACCTAAAACACAAAAAAAATTACGACGTTAATTTCTGAATTACAACTGAATCAGCCATGGATTAATAATTAAATGTTTAATGTGTCTCATAAGCTCAGTTTGGGCTGCCTATTTTGTACAATAGATAATACTTTAATAAAATAAAATAAATAAAAAATGATAAATCTGAATCAGCTTTGGAGGAGTTCCATGTATTATGACTCTTATAGAGTTGTTCTACTTGTTAGTATGTATGTTTAAGTTTTAGTTTAGAGGTACTCCACTCAAGTGTTCCACTCCCAGAGGTGTTTCCACTCTAAAGGTATTCTCTTATAGAGTTGTTCCACTTGTAAGTATGTGTGCTCTCCTTATAGAGGTATTCCACTCAAGTGTTCCACTTAAAAGGGTGTTCCACACACATAGGCATTTCAACTCTTAAAGGTATTCCACTTAGAGGTGTTCCACATAACAGTTTTTAATCCAAACTAAAATGCAACACACACACAGTGAAACCTGTAAAATAGAGAGTAGAAACACCTCTGTTAGTGAACACTTTTCAGAGTCCCAAAGACCAATTAACTTAATGTAAAATGAAGTAGAACACCTTCCAAGTGAAACACTTTTTAGAGGTACCAAAGGTGTTCCACTTAGACAGATTTTACTACACTTTTATAAAACATAGCCAGATTATTCTAATTTGTGTATATAACTATAATACCTATGGTTTTGATCAACATATTTGCTTGTACTCTAATTTAAAGGTACTCCATATATCAAATCTTAAATCCAATTACAGTAAAAGTCTCCTAAAAGTCAACTTAAATGATTTACCACTTTTTAGCATTAAACAAAATTAAATTTTATTTAAAATAACTGTTCAAAGTATAAATGTCACCACTAAACATCTAGTATGTATTTGTGTTAACAACAACTACAGTATAAACCTGACATCAAGGAGACTTATTGCCAAAGAGACCTATCGTCAAGGAGACCTTATGTCTTACCACACCTTGTGTTTATGTCCAGAGTGAGAGATTGTATAAAAACTTCAAAGTTTTATTTTATTAAAATCAATGTAACATATTTACAGGCTCTAGATGATATGATCCCCAAGAGGGAGTATTAGGTGCCACATAATGGTATTTACAATGATTTTTTATTCTAAGAAATGTTCATGAAATTGTGTAAAGTATGATATTGTACATAATTGAAGGCTCATAGCCTTTTTGCCCCCTCAGACCCATCTAAAATAAAGTTTTCGTTCTGGTATATGTGTACTTTTTTGTTTTGATGCATTCCCCAAGCACTCTAAGTGCAATCACACAGTGAACAAAACATCGTAAATTTCACTAGAAGTATAATCGAAAGGTGAAAAGTTGTTATTTAAGAGAGAAATAATTGTTTACTCAAAATAATAAAATGTTGACGTCAAGGTGTTGTTAAGAACAATAGGAGTCAAGATTGACATCCTAACCTCGACAAAACTTTAAAGACAATAAAAGGACTCTACATGTAGTTTAAGACAGAATTTTGCACCAGAGACTTTCTAGCCTATTCTACTAAAATTCCAAACATAAGTTTTAGAAATAAAAATTGACTTGATGAAAACAATGCTAAGGATTAAACAACGCATTAACATGCAAAATGTCCCCACTTGCCATTTATTACAGATGCCAAATGCTGAATGCCAAAAGCTGAATGCCAACTGCAAAACACAATTCACAAAAAAAGTTGGAGATTCTTAACAATATGTCACCACTAGTGAAGAAAGATGCAAACTGAAACATTGATCTAATTTACAATAATTTGGACTTTTCATTCTTGACTGTAAACAGCATGTCCAATTGACTCACATCTTAGGATGAAATGTCCCTGTATTAGCTATCTCAATATCAAATGTCCAACAAAGGCCAAGACTAAATATCTCATTATCATGAGTCTCATGGTTAAATGCCATTCAGAAATCCTGTGGCCAAATGTACCATAATCAGAAGTCCCATGGCCAAATATTCCATGGTCAGAAAACCAAGGTTAAATGTCTTAAATCAAAAGTCCCATGCTAAAATGTCCCATAATCAGAAGTCCCATGACCAATATCCCATGGTCAGAAATCCCAAGGTCAAATGTCCAATATTCAGAAACTTCATGACCATATTTCCAAAGGTCAAATACCAAACAATAAAATGCCATATGGCTAAATATTAACAGTTATCATGATAAAAAAACATGTCTTAAGCTAATGTCAATCTCTGATACATATACTCACATCTTCAGATATAGCTCTAAATCCAATCCAATATTAAATTCAAGCTAAAATTTTCCAATAAGCCAACTCCTATTGTTACAAATAGATACAAGTTCAATGCCCTTACATATATGCAAAACAACCAACTTCACTTTAGAATTCCCTAGCATCAATATATTAAATCTTCAAATGACAAATATTATTGCTGAGCTTATAAGTCTAAAGTAAATAATGTTTCTAGTGTATGCTATAGTTTTCCAAGAGTCACGATCAGGTTGAACCCATGGATAAAATATACAGGGGTCACATTTTGTAATTCAAGTCTCAAGAGACAACAGAACTGACAAAATATGATTAAAGCATCATCGTATGCCACACCTATTTCATTCCCCATTTGCTCCCCTCCCTCCCCCATTAATACATACAATTGTCTGATAAATAACAATAAGATTTCGAATTAATGCAATGGTCGTTATAAAGGTTTATTTAAACATACTGTAGTATTAAACATTCATAACATGCTTATACTCAATCAATTTTATTTCCAATACAATCCAATACAATATAACATCTGTATGATTGGTTTATCAGAAAATTGCCAATTTTGATCAATAAACTCGGAATACATTAATATCCCAGCATGCATTGGATCAACCAGAATTCAACGCCTTGTTGACGATTTTGCACCAAGTTGAAAACATTAAACAATATGAAAAATTTGCTTTCATTTTTTTATCTAATTGAATAAATTTGGATTTTTTAAGACAGTATTTTGGGGGTTTTAATAACGGTACTTTGTTGGTTCTTATTGCATTCCAATGAAACTAGATTTTAGCTGTTAAGAATCATTCTTGTGAAAATACAATTAGCTCTTAACAATATCATTGATTTACAACAACATGCATTTAAGACCCTAACTCTGATTCAGCAGTAATATTATAAATCAACAAATAAATATTGTTATTAAATATTACTTCCCGAATACAAAGAACTTATAAAATTCTGAGATATTGGCTATTGATTTAATGGCACACATTGTTATGTATTATATATGTTTGATTGTTGTATGAAATACTGTCATTTTTGCAATAATCAATGTGTGGTTTCCAGATACAGTCATATATGCTCATTCTGATACACATGAAGCATCTTTACGTTTCATCTGAAACATCTCAGGGCTGAGAAGAAATGAGAAGTCATGGTTTATCGTGATGTCATATGCTCAACTTATTTAGTCGTACTTTGCCTCTATATCTATGTACAGTCTGTACACAGATATACAGAGTGTTCATAAAGTCTCTTTACATTTTACACAGGTTTTGTATTGTTATTGTAAATTTATAGACTTGGACACCCTGTAATCAGACATAGTACATAATTATGGTAAAGCACATCAAGCAGAACCCTCTACAAAAAGTACACCCAAGCCAATAGCCAGTTTTTCCCAAGGGGTTCACTTTTCAAAAAAATCCAAAGGGGTTCACATTTGACAAACTTTAGCCCAAAATCACTTGAAAAGTGCCCATAGTCCTGTGATGGTTGCGTTAACATGACCGTGTCAAAACTATGGAATATTGAATATTTTGACCGAAATTGGTAAAATTGGGATTTTCACCAGGATAAGAAAACCCCTGGGAGATCACTGAACCCAGCATTATTACCAATTTTTTCAAAACCATAAATGCCTAAAGTGCAATATATTTGTCCTTAGATACAATTACAAAACCTGGAAAGAAAACAGTCTCCGTAAGATAACATGATCTACTACACAGGAAAAACAAAGAACAACAATAGGGAGTATTATTTCAAGGTGGTGGAAATGTTTACTTTTCCTCAGTCTGCGCTTCCTATCCTTGAGCAATGCAAATAACAGATTTGTTTAACAAATTAACGCAAACAGAAACTGCTCACGATTCTAAATATTAATCGAATGGTAACACAGAGACATTATCAAGACATGGTTTTACATAGCATAGAACAAGAGAGTCAGTTTTACTTTTTTTCAACATTTCAATTTCATGCTTCTAAAATGACCGTCAGAATATTTTTAAATTATTCAATCAAAATGGCTTAATCTTAAATGGCCCAAAAACCGAAATGGATCATCTCACTAGTTTGTATTAGTTACATAGGAGAGTTTTCTTGCTACACAGTGAAAAAATATCATGCCTAAAATGACAACTTTGAAAAGGACAACCTTTAAAATGACAACCTTGAAAATGACAACCTTAAAAATGACAAACTCAAATTTGACAAACTCAAATTTGACCATGCATGCCAAAAACCTAATACAGTGGAACATCTCTATAAGCAGAATACCTCTGTTAGTGGAACACTTTTCAAAGTCCCATGACCAACTGAATATTTGTTAAATTAATCAAAACAGCATTTCAAAGATGACCTGAAGTGCATTTCAAATTTGATAAGAAGTGCATTTCAAATAAAATCAGAAATGTATTTCAAATATGATCAGAAATGCATTTCAAATATGATCAGAAATGCATTTCAAATATGATAAGAAGTGCATTTCAAATATGATAAGAAGTGCATTTCAAATATGATCTGAAGTGAATTTCAAATATGATCAGAAATGCATTTCAAATATGAACAGAAGGGCATTTCAAATATGATCTGAAGTGAATTTCAAATAAATGATCAGAAATGCATTTTAAATATGATCAGAAATGCATTTCAACAATGATCTGAAGTGCAAATTTCAAAGATCATCAGAAGTAAATTTCAAATATATGATCAGAAATGCATTTTAAATATGATCAG